CAACACCATATTCAAAGGCATCAGTTCTTCTACAATCTTCCTTATTCACTGTCCAGCTTTCGCATCCATATGACGTTATTGAAAATACCATGGCTTGGGTCATGAGCACCTTAGTCCTCAAGGTGACATGTTTGCTCTTCAATACTTTAAAAAGTTCCTGTGCAGCAGATTTTCCTAATGCTCAGCATATAGGTTGAATAAGTATGGTGAAATAACACAACTCTGTCACACACCTTTCTAAATTTTAAACCATTCAGTATTCCCATGCTCTGTTCGAACAACTGCCTCTTGGTCCAGGTACAGATTCTTCATGAGCATAATTAAGTGTTCCGGAATATACACACTTCACAATATTGTTCATAGTTTGTCATGATCCACAAAATCGAAAGCCTTTGCATAGTCAATAAAGCACAGGTAAACATCTTTCTAATATTCTCTGCTTTCAGCCAAGATTCATTGGACATCAGCAATGATATCCCTCATTCCACGGCCTCTTCTGAATCCGGCTTGACCCTCAGGAAGTTCTTGCAGCCATTTCTGTATTACCTTTATTAAAAATTTAATCACATGAGATATCAAAGATATTGTCTGATGATTTCTGCATTCCATTGGGTCACCTCTCTTTGGAATGGGCACAAATATGGATCTCTTCCAATCAGTCAGCCAGATACTTGTCTTCCAAATTTCTTGGCAGAGATGAGTGAGTGCCTCCTGTGCCACCTCACTTTCTTGACAGATTTCAATTTTTATTCCATCAATTCCTGGTGCCTTTTCTTTGTCAATTCCTTCAATGCACCTTGGACTTCCTCCTTCAGGATCATTGGCTCTTGATCATAAACTACCTCTTAAAATGGTTGAACATTAACCATTTCCTTTTGGTATAGAGACTCTGTGTATTCCTTCCATCTTCTCTTGATTCTTTCTGCATCATTCAGTAATTTGCCCAGAGAATCTTTCAATAATGAAATTTGAGGCTTGAATTTTTTCTTCAGTTCTCCAGCTTGAGAAATGTTGAGCGTGTTCTTCGTTTTTGGTTTTCTGATTCT